ATTCAGGATTTTGGAAGACACTGCTTTTCCATTTTCATTGTTTACCAAAGGTTGACAAGAAAATTTGCTGTGACTGTAGGATTTGCTATATCATTGATGATAGTTTTTAGATGGATTGTCTTGGGCTCACCAATATCTGAACTGTTTGACTAGGTTCTTAGTTATTCAGATTGCTGCAGTGTGTTTGGAGATGCTGAAGCTGTGCTAAACTGAGAACCAGGTCTGCTTATATAATCTTATCTGCTTTTTCGAGATTAAAAAAGCTACCAAAATGTCTGTGTTCAGAATGTTTCACAATGAAAGTTGTAATAACTAAAAATACATAGAAGAAAAATATTTAATTAAATACTTCAAGTATACAAATACAAAAAGTTACATAACAGTAAATTTTATTAAGCTATACTAGTGTTTCCCATTTATGTAAAGTATTAAGAAATTTTTCTTAAATTATTACATGTGTTTTCTATCACTTATGTAAGAATCAGCAATTTCTCTTATGGAGCTCTGGTTTGTTTTGGGGTTTTTTTTGATATGTAAATTCATTTTCCTTTTCTTAGAGGTAAAAGCAATGTAAGCAACAACATACTTCTTGTGTAGTAGAAGGAAACGTGCCAGAGGTAAAATGCACTTAAATAAGTCAAGCGTTTAATTAGATGAAGATACTGAACTCTTGTCCAATGTAACTTATTTCAGTTCTCAAGGGCAAACAAATCTTAAGTATAATAGAAATAATTACATTATTTGTTTAAACAATGTGTCTGAAAATGTTATTTGTTAGTTAATATTTTGGTTCAGCTTCTAAGTAGCAGTTCAGAAATAAAATATCTACATTAGACTTACAAGCGTTTGTAAACTGAGAATATCTGCATTGCTGTATTAAAAAAATAAAAAAACCCCATAAATTAGTATGCAGCTGCAGTATGCAGCAATCGGCAGGTTTAAAATTAAGCATTGTTATAAGAACTCTTGTCATCAGTATTCTCAGTAGAAGGAGTGTGGGTGTCTTCAGTGAAACTTGTCTTCATCAGAAAATATTAATTCTTTCAAGCAGAAATATTCTGCAAAACACATTACTTTCAACAACACCCTGGAGCCAGAGCCAGGAGTTCCATGGTAGCCTTGCATGGAGACCTCACCAGGCTCCATAACATAAGGCCAACCTTATGGTGAAGAGCCACCTTCAACCTGGGTGGCTCCTTGGGGGGACCCAAAGGATTCTGGGAGCTGTTTTAAGAACACTATTTCTTCCAGTCTTGCTGGAAAAAGACATGTAACTCATTCTCAGGGCTTCTGGTTTCCCAGTGGTGGAGCCGTTGGTCAGGAGAACCCTATGGGGAAGGCCCCTCACTGCCTGTAGCTCCCTGACTATTCCTTCACGTGGGCTAGCTGCTCCCTCCTGCTCTGCAGTTTGAGTCAGCAAATGTAGGACTGGAAGCCTGAGTGAACCAGCTGGCTAGTTTATCTGAAATGCAGATTTTTATTATACCCAATGTTGTCTGCATACATGTTTTACTGTCAGACTGTGCCTCATGGAAATCCCATTTACAGAATCATAAAACCAACTAGGTAGGAGAAGACCTTTAGGATTATCAAGTCCAACCAATATATATATTGCTTTATAAAATGCTGGTTTCATAACAAACATATTAAAACATTTCTGTTTTTCAGGGAACTTCTAAAAATCAGAGTTGGCACATGAACTGGAAATCACTTAACATTAATTTTTAATGTGAAGTCATGAATTATTCTCAGTATACATGCTCAATATTATTTTATAATAAAGGACTAATCCTGACATAAATTATAGTGTCCATAATACTACAAAATGTACTGCTGATTTAAGATTTCCTACTTTCCATGATGTACTTATTACGCTAGAATGGTCTTTTGTACATTTTTAATCTTTAATTGTTTGGGATTTTTTGCAGTGATAAAAATAAAAGAAGAACAAAAACAGTGAAGAAAACATTGGAACCTAAGTGGAATCAGACATTCATTTATTCTCCAGTTCATCGGAGAGAGTTTAGAGAACGAATGTTAGAAATTACTCTTTGGGACCAAGCACGAGTTCGAGAGGAAGAAAGTGAATTTTTAGGAGAGGTATACGATTATTAGTAGTTATTATAGAAACACAGTTGCTCTCTGTGTTCATGTCTAGATACAGTATTTTTGAAAAAATGATTAAATGTAGCAAAGCAAAACTGGTTTAAATGGTTGTGTATTTGTCCTTATTTCACTTACTAGCAAACAAATCTGGCACCTATCACATAGTGTTGTTTTGAGATTCTTTCTGTGTTTGTTCTCTTTCAGTAACAGCATGCACGTGGTTTCTCAATTTCTTTTAGAATTGTTTTTTAAAATCCCTATTATGCATAGCTGTATTTTACTCAAATGTTGGAATGTTGGTGCCTTACTTGCTACAAGATATTTGAATGGTGTAAAGATTGACACAAGGCAATGAAGGTTTTGTGAAAGATTTTTGGTATATTTAGGGTTGTAAAAGGCACAGGAACTTCATTCATATTAAATGGAAGACTTTTATAAAACTTCAGACAAAGTCCTTAACAATAAGTGAATAATAGAACAAAAGTTATGAACATAGCTATTTTTAAATAGCTATATTTTAAAATAGCTATGTAAAATATTCTGTTATGTAATGCTTTCCTACTTTCAACCATTTTTTCTTTTTTAGATTCTTATTGAGTTAGAGACAGCATTACTAGATGATGAACCTCACTGGTACAAACTTCAAACACATGATGTCTCTTCATTGCCACTTCCCCATCCTTCACCATATTTGCCACGCAGACAGCTCCATGGCGAGAGTCCCACACGGAGGTTACAAAGTAGGTTGCTAGTTTTACTAACTGTGCATAGTTTGTTTGAATTAATAGGTAAAGTATATTAAATTCTTGTAAATGAGAAGCTATCAGAATTTGTATGTTTGTAGCTGTTATGAATTAGTTCATTTATGATTATTGATAGTCTGACATGCTACAAATGGTGATATTGAACACTGTGCAATACACCAGGTTTGTTTTGTTGTGTATTTTTTATGAGACTACCCAGTTCCTGAGCTTAAGCAAATTACCTTGGTGTTTTGCAATATGCTGTTTTTATCTTGAAGTCCTATCTTCTATATTATGTTTATAATTTCATTGTTTGAATGTGCAGGACCTCTCTCTCTAGCTCATACTTCTTAAAAATAAAGTGACCTGTATTTATCGTAATTTGTAACTAAATTAATACCATGGCCTGTTGCCTTATTTTGATTCTATTTTACATGGTAACATTCACAAATGGAATTTCTTTTAATGGAATTTTCTTCTTGTAGAGTCCAATACTCTTGCTCCACAGTAGTTTGATGTTATCAGTAGGTATTTTGAAAATAGAGTATATATGATATGCTAATAAAAATAGATACATAAGAATGAGATAGTAAAAAGTGGAAATCTGTTTCCTTAATACTTGTTTCTCTAGTTTAACCTTGTTTCTCTAGTTTAACTGTTCTGTGTTGTCGATGATTGAAAGCTATCCTTCACTGAATTAATAATATAAAATATCGGTTGATACTGATATTAAGGAAATAAAAAACAAAAAAACCCAACAAACCAAAAAATATTTCTAAGAATTCTTTGGGTTTTTTTGAGTCATTGTATATGAGTGTGTTTGTGCATATGTTACACACAAACTCACAGAAACATATGCACGTGTAGCCATGCAAACAAGCTTGAGTATTTCATATGTTCTGTGTAGACTCCTATTAAATAATACCTTGTATATAAGTATTTCTTGTAGTTGACATGTTTTGTGTCTGTGCACTGGATGGTGAGAAGGATTAAAATGCTCCATATCATAATATTCTGAGATGGATACATTAACAGTGAGTTACAGTGCATAGCCCTCAAGCTGTAAGATTATACTTATCCACAAAAGAAGGAAAGAAATGATAGTTAATAGGTGAAAGTTCTGTTTCAGTTCAGTCCTCTTCAGTCCTCTCCAGTCCTCTCAAGTACCATGGCTGTTGCTCAAGTAAAGTTTTAAAATTATTTTTCTTCTATCGTTTTGGCCACCTTGTAACACGTTTTAGGAAGTTAAATTTTCCATGTAAAATTACTTTTGCAGACCAGCTGGACATTTCAGTACCTGTTTGTGTGTGAAGTTAGTGAAAATCCGCTTTTCAGGAAATATTTAGTCCTGCAATAGTAGTTCCTGCCTGTGCAATAAATAACTGCCATAAAGAATGAATAAAACTGTAACTGCTTTATTTTGGAAAGGATTGTTGTAATATTTGACTAAAGATCTTTTTAGTGATATTAACTCAAAATTTGAGGGTTTTTTAAATACTAACATTAATGTTAATACTGAATGTGTTCAATTGGACAGTCTTAAATGCCTCTCTGGAAATGTAGAGGGAAGGACAACTTAGTGTTTCACCAAGTTTATTAAAAAGAAGTTCTGCTTTTCAATGAAGGTGATTTAGCTTGGCTGTTCCACAAGTGGTACTTTGACAGCTTGAGGTTCTAAACATTTCAGCTGAATAAGAAATGTCAGAAGTTCACTGTGATTGCTGCAGAATTCATATACTCCTACAATAAATTATGCTATTTGCATTTATTCTGAGATCGGGATCCCCTGAAGAAGGATTTTCTCTAGTGTCCTGCTAATATATGCACTTCTCGAATCCTTGTGTGTTATAAATAATTTTTAGTTTAAACAGATACTGTTACAGGTACAGAACAAGGTCTCTTGGAATTAAAATCCCTTTTTTCTGGGGACTGGAGAGGCATCCAAATGGAAACAGCATCTGGTCAGAGTTCTGCAACGGCAGCAGAATCATTTAGCAGTTAAAAATAAAATTATTTTAAAATTAGTGTCTCACCTCTGAAATGGAAATAGAAGTATTTCTTGGTGTTCAGAGAAGTGGTGGAATATCATAGAATCATAGAATAGTTAGGGTTGGAAAGGACCTTAAGATCATCTAGTTCCATCCCCCCTGCCATGAGCAGGGACACCACACACTAAACTATGTCGCCCAAGGCTCTGTCCAACCAATTGGAACTACCAGTCCTATTGGAAATACACAGAACTCAACTGTACAAGGCTGTAAGCAATAAGCTGGCCAAGGCTGAAGTGGGTTTTGCACCAGTTGACCTCCAAAAAGCTCTTCCCACTCTAAATGTCATCGCTGGGGGATTGGCGAAGGGCAGATAGCTCATCTTATGGCTGTTTGCCTTCACTAAGCAAAATATTTATAGTATATTAATAACATATAGAAGTCTGTTTCTTTTAGGGTTTTTTTTGAGGTTTCAAAAGAATGTCAAGTTAAACTCAGTATCTTAGGTTTTTTTGTCTGTAGTTTTCTTATATCCTTCAGTAACAACTCTTGTATATAAAACAGATGTTATCCAGTGGCACATTACAACAATGTGGAAAAGTTCTCCAGAATGAAGAGAAAACACGTCTAGCAAGTTCGTCTATCTTTTTCAAAGCACATCTTGTAACATTTAATGTGCTGTTTCACAGTAAGCTGATTTCAATTTCTAGGGCTACAAAACCTGAGCACTTAAGTCCTCCCACCTTTTGTTCATTTCTGTGATGCCTCTATGTATAGATAGTGATTACAATATGAAGTACTTTATTGCATGTCCCAAAAAATTGTGAGTGTAAGAAATAAGAAAGAGATTTCGAATTAACAAGATTGTTGGTTGGTTGTATAAATACACATCTACACATCTATACATCTAAGCTTTCTTATCCTCATGATTGCCAAGTAGCTATAAATACTATAATTGAAGATAATACTTACGTGTTATTCTCTAAAGGTAGTTTAAAAGAACCACCTACACTTACCACTTACTTCTCTTTTTAATATCACTGAATTGTAGAGTTCCAGAAGAGGAGCAGGCTGTCAGCTCTGAAGACTGAATTCCTATATTTACAGATTGCCAGTAGCAAAGTGCAAGCTTCCCACAGAGCCCCATATGCTGTTTTTTTATGAACCAGCTTTCAGAGACAGTAGCTTAGTTTCTACATATATTTACCTCTCAATATCTTTGAGTAGGCATTATGTTGTGGTACAGACTGATCTAAACCAGCTGTCCTATTTCTCATGCCCAGTCCTCTGATCCATATAATCCATTAACTTCCTAATGATGCTTTTTCTTTATATTTTTGAAATAAATCCACTTAGAAACTGAAACTAGTATAGAATATAAAATTATGGCTTCCTAGATCATTCAGCTAATTATACTTCAGATTTTCATAAACTGGCTGGTTTTTGTCCAATGAGTATATTTTAAGCTTTTTCTTATGTGAAATGTGAGGTACTGAGTAGGTCTATTTTACTTATTGTGCTGAACTTCTGAAGTGAATTTTTAAAATTCCTTCATTTTCTCTAAAGTTTGACATAAAATCAGCCATACATTAAGAACTGCAGACAGCATTAACTACAATTATAGACAAACTGAACTTCTTTTTATATTGCCTCTGAAAAGAGATTGTAAACAGAAAATTAAAGATTATTTAAAAAAATATTTGGGAATTCCTGTTGTTGGTTAGGCCGCAGTATTATTGTTCCACTCACATTAAATAAGAGGCTTACTACAGATTACATTGAAAACTGAATGTTGTTTGAATGTTGTGTTCATAGTTGTAAGGATCAATGGGATGCAAGTTGTTAGTATTACTATTTATTGAGAAGTGATACAGAAATCAAGCAGGCTTTATACTACGGGATTACAAAGCAAAAAATACTTCCTCTCCATGTGGCCCAGAATGCAGAGATAACAGACATCAAATTGGTTCTGAGATGTTCTTATTCAATCTTTTACAGTTATGTCCATGTAATGTGTGCAGTTGTGTAGTTTGAGATGGTAGTGTTTAGGAGACAAAGAATACAGGGATATAATGTATTTTGAAGATATAGTGTATTTTGGTTTTAGTTTTATAGTGACTCTGAGTATGGTCTAGAAGCAGATTTTTGTTTTACTTCAAATGTTCTAAGAATTTCCTGATTATTTAGAATTAAAAGTAACTGATGCTAGTTTTCGAAGTCAAATTTTGCAGCTTTAAAACCAAGCTGTCCATTACTGATCTGCATACCACGGAGAGTGGGTATACAGTGCAGACAACAGCTAAGTGCCAAAACAAGAGAAGAAATGTGGCTATAACAATAGAAACAGACGTTTTCAGGTCTCTAGTTACAGCATATGTATGTACAGTAGTGGAAGGAGAGCTTTTAATTGCCTTGGGAATGCATGGTATGGTTTGAAAAAGCAAAGTGAAGTATAATTTGAGCATCCTCAGTAAGGGATAACTACTAAATCTGTGTGAGATGAGGTGCTGAAAACAAGGTGCAAGAGATTTCATAAATTACAGTGTTTTGAAATCAACATATAGAAGTGTCCTAAATGATGGGTCAAATTGTGTTTTTTTCAAGAACTGAACACCAGAAAAGTCAGTCAGGATCAAAATAATTGTAAAAAAATGGTCTGTGGAGTAGCTTTCTTTTAAAGGGAGTTTGAATTTCACTACTTTGAGAATTAACATCAGCGATGACTCCATTCAGTAAGTTTCATGATTCTTAAGGCATATAAAAAAATTTGGAAGAAGAGAAATTACAGTAATGATTGTTTAAGTTGGGGGGATGAAAAATTAAGAATAGTTGTGTTCTACAAAGTGATGTGTGGATAGCGTACAAAAAACTACATATAATGTTCTTTTTCCAAATTTTATTTATTCATTCATATGGGAATAAAATATTCTATAATGCATAAGCAAAGTGTTTGCATCACATAAAAAGTTTCTGTCATCTTCTTTTGTCAGATTTGTACATTTTTCTGTG